AGAGTGATTGTTAAGTTAGCGTCGTTTAATTGGTGCTCACATATGAGATTCTGGAATGGTAAATTGTGATGGATTCTCACTCGTCACTGTGTTAGGTGGAGCTGGTGGGAGGATTATATTTTTTTGTGTGTTTGTGTTCTTGTTTGTGAGGTTTCTATGTGTGTGTGTGTGTGTGTGTGTGTGTGTTTGTTTGTGTGAATGTGTGGATGTGTGTGTGGATGTCTGTTTGTCTGTGTATGTGTTTGTCTGTTTCTGTTTGTGTGTAAGAGTGTTTGTGTGGATGTGCATTTGTCTTTGTGTGTGTGTGTGTGTGTGTGTGTGTGTGTGTGTGATCTTTTTTAATTGTAGTTTTCTTTCTTTCTCTCTTTCTCTTTCTCGTTTTCTTTTCTGTCTGTCTATCTGTCTGTCTGTCTATCTGTCTCTCTGTCTGTCTCTACTCGCCATAAACAGATAATTCTCTCATAATTTCTATAAGTTGATAAACCAGTGTAATTACTAACCTTGTACTTCCCTTAGTTGTTGAAGCTCAGTAAAGTTAGATTATACAGAGGTGGTAGAGGATAGATAGATAGATAGATAGATAGATATTAGACAGACAGACAGACAGACAGACAGACAGGTAGACAGATTAAGGCTAGCTGTGATTTTTATATTAAACTCACCTATGAACACAATATCGGGCATCACTACCCCATACTACCGATCTACGCTCTATTTATCGGTGTATCGATCCTTCCCCCGATTTAATAATGAATAATGGTACATTGTATAATGGGGTATGATGAGCCATTATCTTATTAAAGGCGTAGAGTTTGTTTATAGAGGTGAAGAAGCCCATAACACCTGTCCCTTTTACGTAGCTCAGGTGTTATGGTGCATTAATTAACTCCAAATATTACAACCATATACCTGTAATTTGACGAGCGTGTGTAACCCTCGGTGTGTTGTGTTGTGTTGTGTTGTGTTGTGTTGTGTTGTGTTGTGTTAGGGTTGGGGAATAACCTGAAAGGCCGGAACACTCGTCAACTGCACTGGCTAATTGATTCTTGATTTCATACTCATGTAGAAGGAGTAGCTGTAATATTCTGTAATATGCTGTTTCTTCTTGATGGGTCTTCTGTACCTCACTGAACGGGAGGGAGGAGGGGGGAGGGTTTCTTCTTGATGGGTCTTCTGTACCTCACTGAACGGGAGGGAGGAGGGGGGAGGGGGGTGGTGATGGTGTGAGGTGGAATGACACAGTAATGATCTCTCTCAAGCTGCATGCGTGAGAACAATGTCAAGATGGTGTCTGTGTGTGTGTGTGTAATAATAATAATAATAATAATAATAATAATAATAATAGTAATAATAATAATAATAATATGTGTGAAGTGTGAAGTCAATAATAAATTTATTGCTGAAAATGTTGGGCTTTGTTCATGACGACTTACCACACAATTACCTCATCTTCAACTATTCATCAAGAAATCTGACACTTGCTGAAAAATCCTTCTTGTTTCTGAAGGTCTGAATTATATCATTAACCAAAGTATATTAAACTTTTTAGGTCACTTTCTTGTCATTTGAATTATCTAAAACAACTTACATTTTTACCATTCTATTCGAAACATCCTGATAGGTGTAATGATTTATTTTCTGAAGTCGAATTTAAAGCTCTCTGGAATTTTTTTTTATTATGACAGTATTTTGATTTTGAGGCGTGATAAAAGTAATGGTGTAGTTTTCTTAATAAGAATTATTATATTAACAAGATGTCAACAATAATATGATCACACAAGATTTGGAAAACAAAATCATAATGACCCGTTTCCTGTCTCTCTCTCTCTTAGACACGAGGACTGGATCAGGTGTCTTAGATAATTAAAATGTATTGGGGATTCTAGACGATAATGTTGCTTCTAAAATGTACTGTATGTGTCTGGCGCTAAACCTGAAGCCCTGTACAGACTCCCGGAAATTGACAAAGACGGCTGCTCCACCACGTCCATTTTGTCGGCTATTGGGAGTTTTAAAGATTTTTAATTGACGTTTATCTATTCGCACCCATTACCACTAACCATCACCACTAATCACCACAGCATCAAAGATTATTTCAACATTGTCAAAGAATTATGTGAGAGTAATTTTGGTGACATTCTTTGGCCAGTTCTGATATCAAGTCACTCTCACCCACACATTCCCCTGGACGAAGCGATAAATATTGTGGCCTAAACTCATCCCAATTTCACAACTTCTTTCTCTGGCAATCGTGGGTTTCTTATTTCTTCTCAACAAATCATTATATAGTTAGTTGGAGGTAGGTATGGGCAGCCCCCGAGGACCCATATACTCGCTAAGGTCCAGAGGTGTATACAAACCACTACTCTACTCCTTGAAAGAGACGTGGATGACATATTTCTAATCTTTAACTCTTCACTACGGGGACACCATTTTTAATATTTGATTTGGCTAACTACTAAGTATAAATCCAAATAAACTTTATTTTTTTTTGGTAATCCGGGAATCTCATATCAGCTCTAGTTACGATGTCTTAAACCAAAATGTTCATTGACATATTCTCAAACAACTCTCACCTCTCATGCTTACAACCCCAACCATCACAATATCACCCACTTCACCATTACATAAACTGGAAAGAACAGTTTTGGCCTAGAAAATAAACTCACTATATTATTACGTGATATTTTCCCCAGACTCTCGTTAACGTAATCTTAAAACACGGTGAAACTATACAGGGATTTTTTTTTTTGACTCGAAGATTTAGTGACCAGGGAATTACATCCTCTATAGTTTATTCTTATGTGTGTTACCGGTAATGGTGGACATATATTGGCAAACCAGAGAGTAAGTTTATAAGGGACGATCGTTTAGAACAAGACAATTAAATTCTTCAGGTAAGCAACCAAGATCACGGTCCTCCTCTATATTAAACCCCTCATTCACTGTCCGCGCCACACACCAGCCGACACACGAGGAAACGCGACCATTCTGCAGAAATAAACAGTTGAACTCCTGAGATTCTAGAGAGGTTGGTTATCATAATTACATTTAACGTCATTATTCAGCTTCTCTACGGCTGTGATTTGGATATTATCATTTGTTTTTGTTTTATTATTATTATTATTTTAATATTGATACATACGTGTGTTTCTTTTCGATAACTAATGATGGTTACTGACATGATCGAAACATTAGCTTATAAAGAAGAATAAGTGTTAAGATATCCACCTTTATCCCAGCCTCAGTGTTACTACAGATCACACACACACACACACACACACACACACACACACACACACACACACACACACACCGCTATGTTACCGCCCTGAAAATCATCATTACTCCGCCCGCTGTTAGGTGACGACCCTCCGCCGGACACACACTCTCACATGTCCTTCCCTGGCCACTGAGCGTCACTAAAAACACTACCAGTTCACCTAACCTTCTGAGTGTTAGTGTCTAGATCTCTTGCCGAATCTCCTGAAGGTGCTCCTATGGGTAGATCAGCTCACGACTACTTCACTACCTGGGTTCATGTTATTATTGCAGTATCTTGTGTGATTGATGTAAGGCATAGATTGTCTTAGTCTTGTTGGTGTGTGTGTGTGTGTGTGTGTGTGTGTGTGTGTGTGTGTGTGTGTGTGTGTGTGTGTGTGTGTGTGTGTGTGTGTGTGTGTGTGTCCCTACAACCGATTATGTATCATACACGATACATCATACATAATACATCAACATTAATACATCGCGCACCACACATCATACACTATACATTATACATCGTGTACCATATTATACACAATGTATTATACATTAATACACCACATATACTACATAATACATCATGCATACATTATAAATTAAACATCATACATCATATATGAGGTAATTCAGCTCAACCCTTCCCCCGCCCTCTTGTGAATATTTAATCACCATTAGCTGAGAAAAACCTAATTCCTTCACCCTCATTAGGCACCAGAATACCTTAGTAATTACCTGTCTCGCCAAGTTAGTTTTGTCCGGATTATGAGTCTCGCCAAGTTAGTTTTGTCCGGATTATGAGTCTCGCCAAGTTAGTTTTGTCCGGATTATGAGTCTCGCCAAGTTAGTTTTGTCCGGATTATGAGTCTCGTCAAGTTAGTTTTGTCCGAGTTATGCGTCTCGCCAAGTTAGTTCTGTCCGGATTATGAGTCTCGCCAAGTTAGTTTTGTCCGAGTTATGAGTCTCGCCAAGTTAGTTTTGTCCGAGTTATGCGTCTCGCCAAGTTAGTTTTGTCCGAGTTATGCGTCTCGCCAAGTTAGTTTTGTCCGAGTTAGCCAACTGGTCGATTTAGTCAGACAAAATCATCCATCTCGCCCAAATTTCTCAAATCAAGTTACCATTGTTGAAGGTAAACACACACACACACACACACATACACACACACACACACATACACACATACTTATATACTTCTGAGTTATTAAATAAAAGAACAAATTCGTGGAAATCTTTTATTTGTTCATATATTGTTCTTGTTGATGGCCGGAGGTGTTGTGTGAAAGAAGGAAATAAGTACAAAGTAATTGTATGAAGTGATTGAAGAAACGCACACACACACACACACACACACACCGAGTCACCAAGGGAGAGAGAGAACAAGCTTTTGACAAACATGACAGCTGTAAATGTTGGAGGCTGGCATTCCACGCGACGCCAAGATAAAGTACCGCCAACACTCCTCCCGAGGCAATAGTCGGGCCAATTTAAAGACCGTGGCAAAAGCTGACAGGAAAAGAGCGTGTTAGCCTATTCATTTATCCAACACTCTAATGGTATAAACATTATCCAGGCGCTTTCTTTAGTTAGCTCTGTCTGATACCTAACGCTTTAAGTTACGGCCCGTGCCATTGGTCGGCGTCAACTGGTGAGCTCCACCCCCTGGGAGGAAGTTGCGCGTGAGTGGTGGAACGGTAAGCAGGAGGCGGTGTTTAGAATGACTCTCGGATGCTGTCGGGTGATAAGTGCCAGTCTGTGGTGGACTTTGTATAGTCGACCACATGAATTTGCGCTCGCCGGTGTTTACATTATGTGCTGGTGTGATGGTCGCTGCGCACACCTGTATCGTTCCGTTCTAAACTGAGTGTTCTCACCTGGTTGTGGCCTTCGTTATGTGCACCTGCCCGAGTCTCTGATGGTAAATGGGCCAATATAACAGATTATCGCAACAATCAATGTGCACAGACACAGTGACACACGTATTATCTCCAGCCTGAGTTACCATAAAAAAAAGAGAATAGTAGAGGTCCGAGAGTAGAGATCGATCAGACATGTCCGGGGCAACAGTGAATTCCGGTGTGGGCGAGAAGCCACAGTCTGCCTTCAGTGCCGTCGTCAGGAAGAGCTATTCTTCCTTCTCTGTGGACTCCATCTTGAGTGGCGGTGAATCTCGGCCCGCGAGACACACAGAAGAAGGCCATGAAGGTGATCACAGAAGTCCTCTGAGCTGCCCGGGCTCCACACACACGGCAGAGTTCCTCCTGCGAGATGACCGCTCATCCGAGTCCTGTAAGAAGGACAGGGACACCACAGATCGAACGTCGCCGTCGTCGCCAGGGTGCGACGACGAGGACAGAGACGAGGATATCCACGTGGACACAGACACCGAGGACGAGAAGGAGCGAGAGCGAGACCGTCTACAGACCCAGCCAGTGATCAGACCCACGGCCCTGGGGCCCTTACAGGACCCTCGCCTCTCAGGTCTGGGGCACTCTGGCCCTCCTCCTCCACACACACTGTTCCCACCACACCTGCAGGCGGGGTTGTGGCCATCCCTGCCCCTCCTGCACCACCAACTCTCCCTCCGCGCCCTAGCCAGTAAGTGTCTCCGAGGTTTATGACTTTTCCGTGCTCCAGATCACATGTAAACATCACGCAAAATTTATGTCTGAATGTTTTAATGACCGTATGAGGAATTCTGGCCTGCAGGGAATTGTTGTGTGAGCATAAAGTTTGGGATGATGAGAGAGGTATGTGACTACCGTCAATGTTGTTTATAATTTGCCTTTTCTTGTCGCAGAAACCCCGGAGCCTCCGAGGTTCCACGGGCCGATGAAGGTGACGCTGAGGAAGCACAAGCCCAACAGGAAGCCTCGCACACCCTTCACCACCCAGCAGCTCCTCGCCCTGGAGAAGAAATTCCGGGAGAAGCAGTACCTGAGTATCGCCGAGCGGGCCGAGTTTTCCGCCTCCCTCAACCTGACGGAGACGCAGGTCAAGATCTGGTTTCAGAACCGTCGAGCTAAAGACAAACGCCTTAAGGAGTCCGAGATGGAACGGCTTCGTTTAGCATCGGAGCCGCTGGTACCACCCAACCCGTTCCTGCCTCCCGCCTCACTCCTACCGCCCTTCCTGCTCAACAGTCCGTTCATCCAGGGCGGTCTCCGCCACCCTCTGGGACCGCCCACAGCACCGCCGCCCACCGCCTCCCCGCCCACCTCGCACTAGCATCTGCAGGTCTGTTTTTCCTGGTACCCCATCTCACCCTCCCATAGGTACCTCCTCCAGGTACCTCTCCCTCTTCCCCGGTACCTCTGTCCCGGTACCATTCACCCCGGTACCTCCTCGGTAAGCCACCGCTACTAGTCACGTCCCAGAAGTCGTCGTCTTCGTCGTCATCGTCGTCAGTGCCTCCCGCATGACCGAGTCCACGACATGCACGTCCCGACCCCCAGTGCATGAGAGATTTGTTACCCAAGTGATATATAATTATCTATAACGCTCGGCTCTTGGTCCCTGGAACTCGGTGCATACTTAAAACAAATAATTATGAACCTCGAACGAACATGTACAGTATATTAACCCGTGTATGGTGTACGAAGGAACTGTATGTGCCCGCATCCTGTATGGCGGAACTGTATCACCCAATAAGGTGTATGAACAAAATGTAATATATATATATATTTTTTTTGGTTGCCCGTTTGGTGTACTGTATGATACAGCCTTGTTGTGTACACACTGTCGTGGTTTATATAAGTCTCCCGAAACTGTGTCTAAAATGCCACTTGATAATCTAGTTACGCCACTGATCATCTCGTCTCTCTCTTGGTGAAAATATTTTAACACCTTGAAAGACACAGGAAAAACAACAACAATATCAGCCAACAACAATAACAACGTAACTTAAATAGCCTGCATAAATAAATAACGAAAAATCGAAGACAAACGTACAATCAGTCCCCTTTCTCGCGTTGCCTTCATATAGTTACGAGAAGATGAAAGAAATAAAATTAAATCTACACCTTTTTGTCCAATCAATCAAGAATTAACCAACAATTCAAATTAACATGTTAAATTATAGATTACAGTGAAAGATAAATTATAGTTTTATCCCCTTTCTCACTGACATCTATTTGTAACTACAATAAGGACTATTTTTACCATAGAACTCTCCTTGACCCATTCAAACGCCCGTCAATTTAACATGTTAAGATTATGGCGTTCATATGACTTCCCTACACACACACACACACACACCCATGACATGATAAATTTATTTTGTTCATTGTTAACCAATACTTTCTGAGCTATATCCCCCCTCTGTACATAATGTATAATGAGCTGTACTTGTATAACGAATTGTACTTGCTTGCCAAAGAGCGTAATAAGGGTTAAATTGTTTATCTTGTTCAATCTAATTTATATTAATAAAGGTATTTTTATAATCGTATTTGTCTGGATTTTAACCTTGGAAGAAGTTAATGTATTCTGGTAAACTATGAAAGATGCTGGAGTAGATAAATAAGTATAGATTAGTAGAAAAAAAATATGACGCTATGCACATACAGTATATAGAGAAAGATATATTTTTACTTTGATTTTTTTTTTCAAAGAGAAATAAACTTTAAATATTTTGAATAAACTTGGTAGACAGCCAAGAGGTTCATGGAGAGTAACAAAAAAGTATGAAAACTTTGAAGTGAATGAAAGTTTACACGAGGGAACTTTATGCATTAAAATAGATGTTTGATAAATGTATATTCTTTGTTTACTGATTATAGCATAAGAAAAAGTATTCTTCATTACTGCTATTTTATAATGTTTAATATTTCTTGATTAATATTGAATTTATTCATTTTTTTTACGTAAAACTGACGAAGAAAAATATGAAGAATTAACAGAAAATAGTTGAAAGGATTTGTAAGATCATGAAATATATTACACGGCTCCTGAAATATATTCTAAACTACTGTAATAACACAATGAATCTAAAGTTACCAAAAAAAAAAAATTACGTAAGATATTTTACTTCAGAATATTACAAGAATTACATAAGAAATAATACAGGAATTACACAAGAAATATTACAGAAATTCCAAAAGGTTACAACTTAATATGACTGAAAATTTATATACATACACATCAAAATAAATAAATAAATATATATTGACAGTTTTAACATATAAACATAATTGGAGTGAAAATAATATTATCGTTGTGTTATGTTAAGAGACAAAATTACCATTAACGGAGAAAATAACTAAAACGGTGTTATTAACTGTTAACTTTGAAATATTTAACATTAACACAGGATAGTCAGGTTAAGGAGAGTAGTTAACTGATAAGACGGAATATTACTCAATGTAGATTTTGTTACGTGTTGATACGGTCGTCTATCCCCCTATTTTATCTGTCTATCTGTCTAACTATCTATTTCTCTATCTGTCTGTCATTTCCTCTCTATATCTATCTATTCATCGTCTGTCTATCGACTTTCTGCCTGTCTGTCCAGCTATAAATTTCCCCCTTTTTCTCTCCTGTCTCTGTTTTTCTCTAATATTCTGTCTATCTTTTGTTAGTCTGTCAATCTTCCTGTCTATTCACCTGTTTTATCATTCTATTTCTCTATCTTCATCATTCTGTCAATCTTAGTTACCTGTGTTATTCTGTCTCTATCTGTCATTCTGTTTATTCCTTAATTTAAACATTATATTTGTGTTTATTTGTTTATTCTGTCTATTTCATTCTTCCTATGTATCCATTTATATATTTATTCCATCCGTTCGTCTGTCTAGTTTCCATTCTGTCTGTCTAGTTTCCATTCTGTCTGTCTGTCTGTCAGTTTTATCTCACTCAATATATAACAGAATTGAGAGGAACAAGTTCTTTATTATTTAGCTTTCATTAACAACTAAGGTAAGCTAACTCTATAGCTTTAAGCAAGAACTGATGACTATAGAAGCTAAATTTTTGTTAACGTATCATTTTTTTTATTAAATCTAATTTTAATGTTGATTTTAAATTTTACAATTATTTTTAGTTTATTCTTTTTTACTCGATTTATTTTTATTTATAAGAATTTAATATTTTTTAAGGAATATTTTCTTATATAATTTTGACTGATAATTGATAATGATTTTGACTGACAATTTATAATGATTTTGACTGATAATTAATCGATAATGATAATTGATAATTTTTAATCGAAGAAAGAATTTTAGTTTATGATTTTAATAGTGTGAAATATCAGAAAAATTAGCTTTACTTGTCTATATTAAAGCTAACTTTCTAGACTGTAGCTGTAGTTTTAAAGTGAAGAAAATTTATAGCCTTGATATCAAAACAATGAGTCAGTAAAGCTACATTTCTATATATCTGTAGCTTTAATGAAAATTCGTTTCTTTATCAGAAGTTAAGTAACGTTGGTTTAGCTTTGATAAATATAATGGTAAGGTTTTGTTATGAAGCTGTAATATCGCGGTTAATTTTAAAAGCTATATCAGGCAAAGAATTATAAAAGCTACATTGATGTAGCTTTAGCCTGCAAATTGATATATTAATTTTGCCTCGACTATTACCTGTTGAATCATGCAGTTTGAATTATTCATCAAAGCTAAGTTTCTTTAGTATCAGATATCAGCTAACCAGTAAATACAATACTCTTATGCGTAAACAAAGCTAAGTTTACATAACTGTAAGTATAAGCTACTACGTACCTTTACCTGTAAGCTAATTAATTAACGAAGCTACTTTTTTTTACACATTTAAACAAAAATTATATAATCAATAAAGCTAACTTCTTAAACCTTTCATCATAAGCTAATTAATTGGCAAAGGACGGTATTTTAGCTTTATATACAAGCCAATTAATCGAAAAAGCTAAACGAACTAAAATAATTGAAAACAACAGTTAAAATCGGCTAAAATTCTGAGGTCATATTTGTTGGGGAATATGTTGGTATATGTTATACTCCTCTAACTATACACACGGTTATATATTTCAATAGCTGTTATATATTAGTTTTTATAAGATATATCAATCAAATACTCCGCTCTTCTATATACTCAGATATAACGAACATGGTTATAGCTTTCGCGGGTTATCGACTATACTAAAATAAAACCAAACGGGGTCATATATTTCTGGGAGACATTGATATAACGTACACAGTTCTACGCTATAGGAGGTATACTCATAATTTACTTTGATTTGTGGTAACTGGTATTCATTTTTTCAGTTACATATATTCAGATAGGCCTATATTCAGGATAGGTCTATAATCGGAATAGCTAATTTGAGATAGGCCTATATCGTATACCCGTAGAAATATACACAGGATGCAAACTTTATCATTGAGCGAGTCAGTCAGTTTTAATCTTGTAGACCGGTCGTTACTCTTGATTCAACTCCTCAACGTAAGGTCCCAGGTTCGACTCCCGCTCATATCCTGTTATTATTACATGAGTCACTAACTATTTCCTGTAGCTGTCAACTTGTATAGTCTGGGTTAGGTTAGGTTACAAACATTTTACCTTGCCTAACAAATATTATTAACCTTACATAATAAACATTGACCTTACATAACAAATATTGACCTTACATAATAAATATTGACCTTACATAACAAATATTGACCTTACATAACAAATATTGACCTTACATAACAAATATTGACCTTACATAACAAATATTGACCTTACATAACATTGACCTTATATTGACCTTACATAACAAATATTGACCTTACATAACAAATATTGACCTTACATAACAAATATTGACCTTACATAACAAATATTGACCTTACATAACAAATATTGACCTTACATAACAAATATTGACCTTACATAACAAATATTGACCTTACATAACAAATATTGACCTTACATAACAAACATTGACCTTACATAACAAACATTGACCTTACATAACAAACATTGACCTTACATAACAAATATGGACCTTACATAACAAATATTGACCTCACATGACAAACACGACCTGATTAGAGATATCAGGAGACCAACACACCTGTTTATCCATCTGTGGGAACTGACCTTAATGTATCAGGTATCAGCACTATTACCAAGACCCACCACGTCACTTCCCGTCCCAGGAAGTAACAGTTCAACGTGATGATTAGATATGGGTCGTGTAGTCGTGTTGTGGGTATACTGGGGGGTATGTTCCTATATATCCGGGTATTATTTTCATCACGTTATAAGTGTTGTCATTATGTTGTAACTACGGTATAGTAATTTAGGTCTTTAAGCGTGTAAATAGTTTAGAAATTTAGAATAATTTAGTCTATCAATGGAAACTTCTAAGAGATGGAACTGTTTACTAGTCGATATATAAGGAAATTTTACGAAATGTAGCAAAATATAACGAACTATAACGAAATATAACGAAATATAACAACTCATACATGTATATATATTAAGATAATTGGTTTTTATTTATATATGAAGTCTAATATTTCCACGATCGTTACCTTTTGTAGAAATATTTAAATGATCATTTTTATATAACTCTTGGTGTATTTAGATAATGTTTAAAAATAGATCATATAAACTATAGATACGCTGGACAATTTCCAAAAAAAAAAAAAAAAATAAGCATTATGTTCCAACTACTCTCTCTCGGGGGGGATATATAGTGTCACGTGTTTGTTGGTTTTTTTCCTTTAATAGTCACGAGGGATGATACGCCCCTTGTGTTTACTGTACATACATACATACATACATACATACATACATACATACATACATACATACATACTCTCACCACCTTCCCCATAGAATATTTTCTCCCATATCTTACAGTTCTTGTCTATGTTGTATGGGAGTATGACTTGTTATACACCTGTTCAGTATGATTGTTATTATTCTTATGATGTTTACTGTGTATTTACCGGTAATTAGTGGAGTCATTTACAGGTAGTTTACATTATGTTACTATTATTACTAGCAACGTCAATTTAGTTAGCCACGCCTTTATTACTAGCCACGTCATTATTGTTAGCCACGCCTTTATTACTAGCCACGTTATTATTGTTAGCTAGCCACACCTACTAGCTACGCCTTTATCACTAGCCACACGTACTAGCTACACACTTTATTACTAGCCACACCTACTAGCCACGCCTTTATCACTAGCCACACCTACTAGCGACACACTTTATTACTAGCCACACCTACTAGCCACGCCTTTATCACTAGCCACACCTACTAGCCACGCCTTTATCACTAGCCACACACTTTATTACTAGCCACACCTACTAGCCACGCCTTTATCACTAGCCACACCTACTAGCCACACACTTTATTACTAGCCACACCTACTAGCCACGCCATTAATGATAGAAGCCAGACTTAAGGAACCTGATTTCTTATTGGACCCGAATCTCAATATTCAGATCAGGAGTGAACTGATTCGATCTGTG